AACAGTGAAGATACAGTATGCAATAATCACAAGTTGGTCACAGGTGCTATACACAATGCAGTTATTAATGATTTGGACAATGCCAATATAAAGTTAGAATTAGAAACACTTGATATTAGTGGCAATGATCTAAATGATGTTGATGGAACATTACTGGGAAAATTATTTAAAATAGCTCCTAAATTAAAATGTCTAGAAGTAAGGGAGTGTAGGCTATCAGGTTGTACTTTGGGGGCAATGATCACAGAATGCCAGAACAATGAAGATACAGTATGCAATAATCACAAGTTGGTCACAGGTGCTATACACAATGCAGTTATTAATAATTTGGACAATGCCAATATAAAGTTAAAATTAGAAACACTTGATATTAGTGGCAATGATCTAAATGATATTGATGGAACATTACTGGGAAAATTATTTAAAATAGCTCCTAAATTAAAATGTCTAGAAGTAAGAAAGTGTAGGCTATCAGGTGGTATTCTGAGGGCAATGATCACAGAATGCCAGAACAGTGAAGATACAGTAGACCATGTTTTGAAACACTACAGGCTTGTACTACAGGGCAATGACCTTTCAGATATTGATGGTACATCAGTTGCTGATTTAGTCAGGGTACATTGTCATTATGAATTTGGTGATGATGATTATGATGATACAATTTTCATTGTGAGTGATTATTCTCTTACTTTTGATAACATAGAAAAGCTTGTTGAATCAGTAGGTGAAAATATAACATTGGATTGGGAAAGTATAAATCTGAGTAGGATTAACCTGTCTTCAATAAGTGGAATAACATTAGCTCGCCTATTTAAGATCTGCCCAGTGCTGAACCATATTGACATGAGTTACTGCAGTTTATCAGGCAGCATTGTTAATGAAATGGTAGAAGAATGTTGTAGGATGAATGCCAATATAAAGTTAGAATTAAAAACACTTAGTATTAGTGGCAATAATCTTGATGGAACATTACTGGGAAAATTATTTAAAATAGCTCCTAAATTAAAATATCTAAATTTAAGAAAGTGTAGGCTATCAGGTGGTACTTTGAGGGCAATGATCAGAGAATGCCAGAACAGTGAAGATACAGTAGACCATGTTTTGAAACACTACAGGCTTGTACTAAAGGGCAATGGCCTTTCAGATATTGATGGTACATCACTTGCTGATTTAGTCAGGGTAAATTGTCATTATGAATTTGGTGATTATTTTTATGATGATGATGATGATGATACAATTTTCATTCTGAGTGATTATTCTCTTACTTTTGATAACATAGAAAAGCTTGTTGAATCAGTAGGTGAAAATATAACATTGGATTGGGAAAGTATAGATCTGAGTAGGATTAACCTGTCTTCAGTAAGTGGAATAACATTAGCTCGCCTATTTAAGATCTGCCCAGTGCTGAACCATATTGACATGAGTTACTGCAGTTTATCAGGCAGCATTGTTAATGAAATGATGGAAGAATGTTGTAGGATGAATGTAGTATTCAACGACATCATACTTAGTCTATGGGGCAATGACCTTTCAGATATTGATGGTAAATCACTTGCAGAGTTAGTCAGGGTAATTTGTCTGTGTGATAATGAAACTTTCAGTTGGAGTGATTATTCTCTTACAGCTGGTAACCTAGAAATGCTGGTTGAATCTGTAGGTGAAAATATAACATTGAATTGGGATAGTATAGATTTGAGTGGGATTAACCTGTCTTCAAGTGGTAAAACATTAGCTCGTCTGTTTAAGATTTGCCCAGTGCTGAAGCATATTTACATGAGTTACTGCAGTTTATCAGGCAGCATTGTTAATGAAATGATGGAAGAATGTTGTAGGATGAATGTAGTATTGGAAGACAACATGCTTATTCTAAAGGGCAATGACCTTTCAGATATTGATGGTAAATCACTTGCAGAGTTAGTCAGGGTAATTTGTCCGTATTATAAAACTCTCAGTTGGAGTGATTATTCTCTTACAGCTGGTAACCTAGAAATGCTGGTTGAATCTGTAGGTGAAAATATAACATTGAATTGGAATAGTATAAATTTGAGTGGGATTAACCTGTCTTCAAGTGGTAAAATATTAGCTCGTCTGTTTAAGATCTCTCCAAACCTGATCCATATTGACATGAGTAACTGCAGTTTATCAGGCAGGATTGTTAATGAAATGATGGAAGAATGTTGTAGGATGAATGTAGTATTGAAAGACAATATGCTTAGTCTAGAGGGCAATGACCTTTCAGATATTGATGGTAAGTCACTTGCAGAGTTAGTTAGGGTAGTTAAAAAGTCTCGTAAATTTTTAAAGTTAAGCAGAATTGGTCAGGTTATTAATGATGTATTTGAAATTGTCAGATGGAGTGACTATTCTCTTACAGCTGATAACCTAGAAAAACTAGTAGAATCAGTAGGTGAAAATATAACATTGAATTGGCAAGTGATGAAATTGAGTAAGATTAACCTATCTTCAATCAGTGGAAAAACATTAGCCTGCCTTATTAAGATCTCTCCAAACCTGATCCATATTGACATGAGTTACTGCAGTTTATCAGGCAGGATTGTTAATGAAATGTTTGTGGAATGTAGTATTATGAATGCAGTGTTGGATGTTGAAATGCTCAATCTGCAGGGCAACAACCTTTCAGATATTGATGGTAAATTATTTGCAGAAATAATTATAGTATTGCATAATCCTGTCGTACCTTTCAGGTGGAGAGATTATTTTCTTACAGCTGATAACCTAGAAAATCTAGTCAAATCAGTAGGTGAAGAAAATATAACTCTGAATTGGCAATTGATAGATTTGAGTAATATTAACCTATCTTCAATCAGTGGAAGAACATTAGCTTGCCTTGTTAAGATTTCTCCAGACCTGATCCATATTGACATGAGTTACTGCAGTTTAACACATAGGATTGTTGATGAAATGATGGAAGAATGCTGTGGGATGAATGTAGTATTGAAAAACAACATGCTTAGTCTGTGGGGTAATGACATTTCAGATATTGTAAATCACTTGTAGCAAATTTGTTATGACCATGTGAATTGTGTAAAACCAAGCATACTCCACTGTATGTATGTTTAGATAAAAATAATTAATCACATGCTTTTATATTATATACAACAAATAAGATAACAATGCAACTACAAAATAATATACAAAGAATACATTCAGTTTTGTGTGATTAATATTTGTTTATTTACCGTAGTATCCTTTAAAATTGAGGCAATTGACAAAGTATTGGTGCTGGACCCCTATTACTCCTGTATGTACACTAATGTTAATATATGTGTTGGTATGTGTGTGTGTGTATATTATATATTTTTTGTTGAAGTTTTCAAAAAAATGGCGAACCTCAAACAACGCAATCTTTTTTTTTTTTTTTCTTTTTTTTTTGTTTGGCCTTAAAAATGTCATTATGTGTTATAACTTTGCACTATCAGATTTACTTTGCTAGTAAGTTATATTACATCGGTCGTTTATATCAAATGAATAATTACATACTTCTGATTAACTACTGTAGATTATGTTCTGGTTTTAGCAACTGTGCACCTCTGTGTTAAAGCCAGGCTTCAGAGTAATTATTATTATTATTATTATTATTATTATTATTATTTTTATTATTATTATTATTATTATTATTATTTATTATTATTATTATTATTATTATAATACGTTTTTCTAAGACACAATGAGCAAATTTGACAAAATACTCGAAATTGGTTAAAATGTGATGCAACATAACAAACATTTTTGCCTACAGAATATTATGTTATCTACTGTATTCTTTGCAATTTGTAAATTATAACACTATATAACTTTAATCTTTAATAAACTAGAAACTATTTGATATTTTAATAGATTCAAGAACTGCAGCTGTACATAATTTAGTTTTTTTAATATTGCTTTCAACAACTGTATAAGATTGTTTTGCTTGATTATTCAAATAAAAATTGTATAAAATTATTTGCATGTATGTACTATGTTTGCATTGTTGTGTGTCTACCCGGACGTGCTTACCTGTTTCCATTGTGGACATAGTTCAAACCACTGAACCGAGTGTTGTCTCCCCTCTGTTTAGCGGACAGGCCTAGATCGCCATCAAAGTCGTCAGACCAAAAATATTAATTTGTCTATCTCCATAACATAATTTTGATTGCCAATCTCTGTATATATTGTGGTCTAAAAGCACAATTTTGGGCCGTGCTAAGCCGGTCATGAAAACTCTGCCTTTAAACACTAACAGGGAATATTTCTGGGCCATGACTGAGGCTACAATTGCCCTGTTGGTTCTTACCTCATGTTGACCCCCCTAAATCCTGGAGCAATAAAATGTGAACATTGTGGGACCTGGAGTAACAGTTGATGAACACATAAAATATTTGATTAAAAGAGCAAACCTTTGGAGGTGCTATAGCAATCCTGTCAACCCACCCACACATGGAAACAGGGCTGATAAACAGAATTGATGATGATGGATAATTGGATGGATGAATGAATGATGATGGAGGGGATGCGATAGATGGAAGAATGATGGAGGATGATGGGATGGATGGGGATAGATGATGATGATGATGATTATGGTGGATATAAAATGATAGATGGATAATGGATGAAAAATGAAGTATGTATGAATAATATGCAGGAGTAATGATGGACGGAAGAATTTAATTCAATTCAATACAATACAAATTTCTTTATTGAAATCACATAAAAATACAAATTGAATTTTCAAAAATATAATATAAGATTTAAATTTATTTCCCTATTTCTGGTTTCATGCATTAATTATTTTTTTCTTTTTTTTTTTTAAATGTTTTTTCATCATCTACAAACTTGGTTAGTCGATTTTTGAGGAGAGCATTCTTTAAGGCATTTGTATTTTTCATTTGCCTACTTTCTCTCTTCATTTTCATTAACTTCGTTTTAAAACTGCTTATCTAATAATATGTTTATATTACAATTTATGCTATTTAACTAACTCTATTTTAAATGTTGATTTGATTTTGAAATAAAACATTGAAATGAAATGAAAGACATCAGCAACCATAAAAGAAAAGAAAAAAAGCCTGAAACTTCAAAAGGAATTACCATTCTTTATATCATTATATAATCTGTCTCTTATACACATCTAGATGTGTATAAGAGACAGGACAAAGTATTGGTTCTGGACCCCTATTACATCTTTAGGTACATTATGTTAATATATGCGTTGGTATGCGTGTGTGCTGTCTCTTATACACATCTAGATGTGCTGTATATGTATGTTATAGTATAATCTGTCTCTTATACACATCTTCCTTATGGAGCCCCTACAAAGGGGCATGGTTTGAACAAATATTGAACTATCTCGAGGGAACGAAATAATATTTTGAAATTATTTCGAAGATTTCGATCCCTCAAAATATTGTTTCTTTCCCTCGAATTAATATTTCGTTCCTAAGATATATTCACTCTATCACATTGTAGGCTCTATGTGATGAATACATGTGATTTGGCCATATATGTGTATGATATGACATCATCATGTCCTAATATGGATGTGATAGGATATCATCATGCCCATATAAGGGCAATTCACACAAATTTGTGAGGATATTGCTCAATGCTCTTCCACTTCAACAAGGAACCAAAGAAAAAAAGGGAAAAAAATGTCACTCATGCTTTGGGCAATACAGTACAATTTCTGTAATATTTGTTATTTGAATAAAGTTTTATCAATTTATTCATGCACACCTTAATTATAGGACCTAGAGTTTATACCATGCCAGAGGGTATACACTGTGCTGGTGAAGTCGCTTATGAAATTCAAAGTGTGTGTTCAGTTTTATGAATAAATTGTAAAAGAGTGACAAAATAAATACATACAACAATGTACTCTTCCACCATCCACTCTCTATTGTTGGTGGAAAATTATGTTGACTGCATAACCTTTTAAAAATTTTCTTACAGACTTTTGTAATATAAAAATATTGTGTATTATATGATTTTCTGAAATAAAAGTTCAAATTGAAATTACCCACAGTCATTGATTTTTGGAAGTAAGAATATGGCACTCCAACTGAGGTTATTATATACACATCTATCTTTTATTTAAATTATAACATTATTTATTGAAAAGATGCAATATTGCTATGTTGAAATCAATTGTAATTAATCCTGTACATTGTAGGCCTACAAGTAATTAAGTAGCTGTCATTATAGAGGGCAGCAAACTGATATTTACGAATATCATGGTTTTTATTCAATTCAATTCCAATAAATTTATTTCTCAAAAATAACAAAGTATTTAAGAATAATTGCAATCTATTTCTGAGAAATAATAATAATAATAATAATAATAATAATAATAATAATAATAATGGGGGTTGGGTGGTTTAGAGCTTCACTGCGTTGATGTTGGTGAAGGTGGGAGTGGGGTGGTAAGCTTCAGCTTTTGTTCATGTTAAATTTGAAAATTAAGGTCGGGTTCAGGATGGGTTGCGGGATGCAGTCTAAAAGTTAGTGATGGGTTTTCATGTCTAATAATAATATAATATTTCAACGTATGATATCGTCTTCGAATGTTATGTGTTTTTTTCATAAAACACCATACAAAAGTGCTTCATGTACTTGAGATTTTTTTTTACAAATACGCAGGCAGCATTAAGTCATAGACCTACTTTATATAAAATATATTTATTATTTTAAAAAACAAATGCAGTACGAAGATAACTGACAGGTCTAGTTTTGTTGTTTCGTAATTGCATTTAAAGCAGGCATTCGTTCAATTGGGTTCCAATATTTTACAGAGAAGTAGTGTCTATGACGAAATCATAATATGATGATGATACAGTATTTTGATGTAATATTATATAAAATCTTTTATTAATAAACCACTTGGAACATTATACGATACCGTACTATTGATGTTAGCTGTTGTTACTATTGTTATCATCATCGCCGCCGCCACCACCACGATACAAAGTCATGTGCATATGCGATCCCCCACCTCTCTGGTATAGACCCCTTCCGCATCACAGAGGAATATACCCACTGTAACATGAATACAGCAATAAAATAAAACTTAAATTAACAATAAATCCAGGGCCGGATTTGGGGCCGGTGCCACCCTTCCCGCTTCCCGAAAAGAAAGAGTAAAAATGTTCATTTACTATGGAAATCTGAAAACAGAAATGCAGGCCCTATTTTACGAGCTTGGGAAATCTGATATTGCACTGTTATTCAAATAAACGACTGTTGAATAAATTCCCAATCTAGAGCCTCATTTTGGATGAAACGCCACCCTTGAATTTCTCCCCACCCCCAGATCCCGTAAATAAATGAACGGAAACAACATTAAGCTTCCAATGGGTCTTTTATTTTGAGAAAAATCAGCCCTCATCATAACTGTCATCTAAGGTGTTAATGCCATTAGCAGCCTGTGTTAGTTCACTTCTTGATAGAAAAAATAATCCATACCATTTAAAAAATCCCAAGTATGAAAAGTTTTAAAAAATCCCAAGACCCCAAGGCAAGAGTGGATCCAGAGATGTCCGAAAGGTGGGGAAGAGCCGATAGTGGGTGTTGAGTTGCACAAATGAAGAATCTGATCATGCGTACAAGTTTACGAAATGATGAATACTATTATTATCTATTGTTTTAATAATAATAATATCAATTCTTTGATAGCTCTCTTGATATATTGATACCCAGGAAATTATAATTGAAACTATATAGAGGGCGTGCTACCATGTATCTGCCATCATCATCGTTCGCGCAGTTGTTTGTCGTTGCGCAACCAGGAAGAGAAAAGAATGTCGGTCAGGGGACGTATCATCTCTATCTTCGTACAATCTGCTACGCAACATTGTACTTAAAAAGTTGTTATTGTTAGAGAGAGAACGTGAGTGTTTGCATTAATTTTAGAGCCATGAATAATCTTTGCTGTTCCATATACAGTATTTGCAGTCTAGGCTAGGGCTAGCCTACTACCTACTAGGCAGAGTAGGCTCAGCTACCTAGGCCATAGGCGATTGGTTGGCCAGGATACCGCACTGTCTGTGTGGGCCTAGGCCTAGCTAGTACTAGGGCCTAGCCTCGGTAGGAAAATTTGGCCTAGAAATACGTCCGCGGCTATGGGAAATTAAGGGGCGATTTCCGCGCAGATTTTCCCGAAAATTTAGCTTTGTCGTATATATATAAACAATGTATTATCAAAGAAGTACATGTAAGATTAAGTAGATAAGATAGAGATCACTGGGATTGATAGCGAAAATGAGGTGGAAATTTGTCCAGACGTACGCGTCGCCCTACTCTTCTTATAATGCAAATTTTCTTGGTCCAAACGTACAGGGCGCCCTTCTGTTGCTAAGTATATCTAGGTGCACACGGCGCCCTTCTTTTTCCACTAATGGAGGAAAAAGTTAATCATAGTACGGTCATATGATTCTGCGCTTTTGTGTCTGTCATTTTTATAGTTTTGATTTATTTATGCCTACTTGTTTGTGTCTTATGGATTATGGCAACAATTTCTACCTCTGCAAAAGGTTATGTATTCAGTTATGTAATGGTTGCAGAAGTTCTTTAGATCCAGCTGTACTTTGTATTCCCATGATGCATTTCGGTATAACAGTTTTTTTTTCTGTGGAGAACTCTATCTTCTTGTGTTTGTGTTTGTACTAGTAGAATCTTGGGTATTATGCACTAATTTACGATTCTGTGCACTTATTTCTGCTGCAAATTTGAGCTGGTTTCTTGGAGTAGTACAGAACATCTACAGCAGTGGCACGATTGGAATTGGGGGTGCATTTACCAAAACGCACTGGCTATATGCACAGCGGCTGTGTATACAATGAAAGTGGTTTTGTTATATGCACAGTGACAAGCAACCAATTACAGCACAAGTTACTATTCTATGCTACTGTATACCACATGATATAAAAAGCTAGCTTTTTAAAAATAATAAATTTTGTGCCCTTTGAGTCTTGTGTCATGATTCTTTGCTCAGAGTGGATGTGTGGATGACCTTTGATCAAAAGACTGTTACTATTGTTTTCTGCCTGTCTTTTTCATCAATTATAGAACCATATAGACACAGCTGCTGTGCATATAAGATTTATATACACAGTTGCTGTGTGTATAGCGTAGCCTTGTCCTTACAAAAATATGTTTTGGTCAATTCACACAAACAATCATACACTTGAAAATCTAATTATTTAATAATGTTCTCCAAATATCAATATCATTTCACCTAAAAGTAGAAAAGTAGAGCTTAGGCCTACTGTATTCGGGAAAAAGCAAATGCTAAAAATAGTCCTAAATTGATTTGGAAAAACCAAATTCTAAAAATAGATTACAATTGGCACGCAGTAATCCAGTATACTTCCAATGATAAAGAGATCCAACCAAAAATAGGGCTACTGTACATTCCTAATCAATTTACAGACCTTTTAATTAATAAAAAAAGTTATCCGCTTGCATCATCTTGTTCTTACAGTACTTCATCCCTCTTTTTATCTACTTAGGATATTTTAAGTTTTTTTTTTAGCACCATGATTGAGAAGACATGGTACTGTATAGTTGAATAGCTTGGTGGTTAAGATGCTTGCCTTCCAATCCCAGGGTCCTGGGTTCAATTCCTGCCAGTTGCAGGATTTTCTCTCACGACATAAGCAACTCCACTCCCTAAATCTCATATTGAGATTTAGTTTGTGTAAAGCATCGTGTGTGTGTGTGTATGTTTGTCTTGTGTAAGGGATTGTCACCTACAAGTAGGACAGTGATATATATTCGCTATTGGCAATCCTTGGCACATGTGTTGTGTGCCTAAAGAAAGAATAATAATAATAATAATAATAATACAAATACTTACTGGATTGAGGGGCATTGTTTATATGTAGCCTGAGGTGATTTAATGGCTGTACTACTGTATATCTTGAGATGAAGTCGAGAAGACATAGTACAGCCTCAGGCTATAATTTGAACTAGAACCTGATTCAAATCCTAGTAAATATTAGTTTTATATACTACTACTTAGATTGTAGGCCTTTGATTGGTTAAAAAACAACTTCAGGCATGACAGTAAATAATGAAATTTTTAAAAATGTACTGTAACTATCATGAGAGTAACTTTATTCACAGTTTCATACCAGTGTAAACTTCAAACTACTTTAGTACATATTAAACACAAATTTAACATTAAAATGTGAACAGTTAAATATTGTATATTGTGCTGCAGTGTTTTTGTTTTTTTTAATCAGTGGCCGCAGATTTCAATTTTGCATTTAGGCCTATTAACTATATGCACCACACATTTTTCCATATTAAAAATGGAAGAATTGTTTTCTTGCTTGACGTACTGGCATTAAAATTAATCCAGCTTTATAGATATTTTGTTATCTTGACTACTCGTTGAGTGTTCTTGTCCCAGTGCCATAGTACCAGGGTTCATTTGGTCATACAGTGCCAAAATCATTACACTCATAATTTTAGCTTATTGGTGTATTTGATGAAAGATGCTACTGGGCAGCAAATAGCATTTGGATTCTCCAGCATAACTCCACCTTAGCTTTGCTCCAAACAATCTTGGAAGCGTTTCTGTATTTGTATTTTTTTAGACCTCCAAGAATTTCAAACCTGTCTCCAGTCATCTCTCAGATTTTCCCATCCCCTGTTGCGAAATTACATTATGTCTATAAACACTTTATCCTGCAACTCTTCTGTAATAAAATTCAGAGATGTTGGAATAAGTGCCATATCTTCTTTTGTAACTGTAATTTTTTGTGCTTAATTTTGCCCTTTCCTTACCTCTTTTAGTTTTGGCAGAAAACGACTGAAACGCTCTGCAATCTCGCTAAATTCGCTGTCCTTTATAATATCAACTTTACATTGTTCAAAAAATTTGTTCAAAACAAATGCTTTGTATGAATTTCTTTGAACATAGTTCCCCTCCTAGTGACGTGAAGAGGTGTAGGCCTTAGCTAGAACGCCATGGAGGCTTGCATTTGATAACTTGTTTACACTCTGCAAATCAGAGTTTGTGGCTTCAAGCTACTCTTAAAATATTCAGACAGCATACTTTACTTGCTACTTACTCACTATACTTCTCAAAATGTTCATCAACCAGTTTAAATCAGGAACAATTTGCCATTGTTTCCTAGCATACCAATACGCAGTGGGTAGCAGAGCGATCATCTGCTTCCAGGTCATCAACAAATTTTATTCAAATTAGAAGTGTGCCACCAACAATAGGCTTAGCATAATTTTCTTCATTGCAACGTTTGAGTGAATTGCAAGAGGAAAAAACACAAAAGACTAATGATTGGCTATTAGGGCATTGCTAGAACTATTGCCCAACTTTTAACCAATCAACTGTCTGGAATGTATGTACTATAGTCAGTGCATAATATGTTATGTATTTCGTGCTACATAATAACTTTATTTTATTTAAAATCTTGTAATTGATTTTATAGGAAACTATTTTACGCAGCCATGCATTCAACTAAAGTGTGAGCTAAAATGTGAATTCATCCAAGGCTTGTAGAGATCGGTCACTGAGGCAGAGTTGGGGGGGGGGGAAGATTTTGATAATATCTGTCATCTAAATCACCTAGGTAAGTAGTAATTTAGAACATGTTTGCTACTAAGAGGAAAGAGAAATTTCATGGGTCACAATCTAGAATTTGTCAGTGGACTTTTTTCAGTAATTTCATTACATAGGCCAAATAAAAAAAATTATTGTGTTGGCCAGCCCAACCGACGTCAGTTTCTTTTCTTTTTTTTTTTTTTTGACTACACGGAACAATTTTTTCTTTCATGAGCTCATAAGGCTGGAATAGCCTTGGACTAGGCTAGGGGGCCAAGGCCTAGCCTATTTTGGTGGATGGTACACGATGATGCGAGTCCAAAATTGTATTATTTGTATATTTTCTACTTTTTAAGCGTAAACACATTTTTGGTTTAAAAAAAACAAAAAAAAAACTTTTCCTACCGGCCTACCCAATTTTTGGGTAGGTTTTTCCCAAAATGTGGCCTACACAAACATTTATTTTTTTTGGCCTTGCTATCTGTTCTGAATATAGATAACCAAGCATCCTTCCATACAGTAGTCCAAAGCCGGGTACAATTGTCGTACAATGCCGTGTGTACTCGCCGTGAGTCTTGGGGAGATGCCTTATTGGTGACTGTAAAATGGTCAGAACCAGACAATTCCGACTTTTGATAGAGTGTTTGGAATGTGTTAATTATAGAAAGTAACACAATTTTCACATGGCCTAGAATATTAGCTATATTTTAAGTCAGTGGTGATGTTGTAATTTTCATTTCCACATAAATTTTCTACCTATCTTGATTACTCTACATGCATATTGCAGAGTTACATTGATGTGAACTGTAAAGAAATAATATTGTGTTATTAAATCCATTTTAGTGTGAAAGTTTGTGAAGCTCAACATTTGGAGTAATAGTGTATATAGTAGATTATGCAAGGATGATGGAAACAGGTAAAATATTCATAATGATTGTTGGCAATATATAGGCCTACAGTGCTATTTCACACACTTAGTCATCATGCACAAAAGTAATCACAAAATGGTGCTTCATTATCATCACACTCAAAATAGGCAGTCATACAGAGCCTACAACCTCCAAATCTGAGACTGGTGAAAGCCACAGGAAACTAAGAAATTAAAACAAAATTCATCCCCGGCATCTTTCCAAGCCATGCATACAGTACATTTAACATAATTTGCATTCTACATGTTTTCAAATTATTGCATTAATGATACAACCATTTGCATGATATATTCCCAGATTAAAAATAATTAAAGATTTTTAGTTATTTTAAAGCCTGATGTATACAATTGTGTAGTAAGAAGACCAAATTCTATACATCTTGCTTAGTATACTTGGGTCAATAATTTTCATTTTGAAAATGTCTCACCTTTTATCATTTGCATGTGAAATTTGGACATGCGGAACAGGTTTGTGTTTATACAGTAGGGAGAATTTGATAACCTGTAATGTAATCATCAAATGCTGAAAATTAAATCATTAACAATATACTATTAAACTGTGTTTTTCATTTCATACATTACTAATTATTATTATTGTCAACATTTTAATTTCCCCACAGAGTTCTCTTCGATGCTGGTGCAACTTTCTGATGCAATCAGCAAGAAAGGTGAAAAGTATGTAGACCTGTTGAGGGTTCTGTACAGAGATCTTGCAAATGTTAAATCAGACTTGGAGAAAGCTAAGTGTGCATTTGATATATTTCAATTGCTAATAGCACCTGGCATTTTGAAGCCAACAGACATTTCAATTTTGTTTGAAACAATTGAACTAACTGGATTGAAATATTTGATAGAGATAATCAAGAGATATGAGACATATCCTGAAGAAGTGAAGATCACTCGGTTTTCACGACATCGTCAACAGGTTGTTGCTCTGGGAAAAGACTTTTCAGTTAAAGATCTCCAGAAAGTTAGTCAGTTATATGAAGGCAATTTTTCTAGTCCATGGAAACTGATTCAACATCTTGAAGATACATCTGTTTTAACAGAAGACAGCATGTCATCATTTCTTCAACATTTGAATGAGAATAAAGTAAATGAAGGTTAGTAATAAATATAGAATATCACATTTAAATATTCATGCTTGTAGGATATGATATTATTTAAAATCTCTACTTTCTTTAATTGAGATAGTTCTTTAGTGGTTTACAATTCCCTAAAACCTTAAATACAAGCCCAATGGGTTTTATCTCGAGAATAAACTCACCTTGAATGGAAACCCCCCCCCCTTTTTTTAGTTTGCAGAAGTAGCCTCAAAAAGAAGTCCATCTCGAATACAAGCCTATGGTTTGAAGATAGCATTCACTGTACATGCATTTCTAACAAACAAAATATTTAAAAACTACTTGGTTTAGTCAGCAGTTAAAGTGATTTAATGCCAGTTAATACAGTCCATGTAAAGAAATAAATATTTGTTGTCCATTTGTTATTTTTTCCATACTCAATTTTTACAGTGATTGGAATTCTAAAATGGCATAATTCTCAATGATTAGGTTTCGTTAGCCATGTTCTCACGATCAATCCTATGCGATGCAAGTTAATCAGAAATCCAGTCACGGTCGCATCAAATTTTATCGTATGTCTACACGAGAGTTATAGCGGATAGTTATAGCGCTTATACACTGGTATAAAAAATGGGCTTTTGTGTAAGGCTAATTTTGCAATGTAAATAATTGGGGAGGTGGCTTCTTTTGAAAGTGAATGCTGTAAATCTTGAGAATTTGTACTATAAAACAATAAACAGAACCACTGCAACATCAGCCAGTATCATATAGGTCCTTTATGCCTTTTATCAACAGAATTTTAGAATTGATCAGTGTTATAAAAAGATATTGTGAAAGTAACATGCTCTGACTAGCTGAGATCAAGAGAGTTTAGGGAATTTATTTTAGTTAATCTTTTAGTGACTCTATTTTCTTTAAATAGATTTTAATCAACTGCTTGTGAGAATATCCGATGCAATCAGCGTAAAAGGTGAAAAGTATATTGACATGTTGAGGGTTCTGTACAAAGATCTTGCTGAGTTTAAAGCAGAATTGGAGGAAGCTAAATCTGCATTTGATTTATTCCAAATACTAAGAGTCTCCGACATTTTGAAAGCAACAGACATTTCAGTTTTATTTGAAACAATTGAAGTAACTGGATTAAGGTATTTGAAGGACATAATTAAGGCGTATGACACATATCCAGATGAAGTGAAGATCACTCGATTTTCAGCACATCGTCAACATCTGATTGCTCTTGGAAAAGACTTATCTACCATAGATATTCAAAGGATTAGACAGATGTACGAAGTTCCAGATGACTTCTGTTTTAATTCATGGAAACTGATCACATATCTTGAAAGTAAGGGTATTGTTTCAGAAAATAACTTGTCATCATTTCTTCAGAATTTGCAAAGAGATGGTGAGTATGATGATTATTTAATGATTTTATTTCCAATACCAGCTTACCAATTCTGTAATGTTGCAATCTACAGTATCTAGACATTTTAGGGAGTTAGGGATAACATTGGAGCCCAAGAGACACCGTTCTAAGTGGTTGAAACCTATAGTACTTGATATTTTCTGTTATTTCTTATAATTGACAACAAATATACATTAAGTTAGAGAACTCAACTAACTGATGACATCTAAACATTTAATACTAATAATGCGTCACTCAATCACTTTAATGAGGATTTATTTACTTCTTTACATAACAATAATTATTTTCAATATACTTGTAAATATATTTAGTTTCTGAAACAACAGTTAATTTTTAACAAACATCAAAATATAGACTTGCTCCAAGTCCCTTATTAATTTTTTTCATACTGGACAGCCACCAACAACCAAGTTTAATGTAAATAAAATTGCGATATTTAAAAGACTTCTTTACAGCAGGGTTTCTTGTTTTCTCTGGTACTATTGGCTAGTCCCAATATATGGCCAGTATCACAATGTAAACTGACTAGAATTCAGGTGCCCACATCGATCAGTTTATTTGTACAATAACCATTTTTGGAACTTATAGCTAAGCTGTTCTCCTAAGTAGGAAAAATTATGCTATGTATATTTTAGATATGTTGCTAATGCACAAATTGTCAATTTCTATTTCCTCAATAGTTAATGAAAAAGCATCAACATCAAAAAGACAAAAATTAGACAAAGGTATGTAGTGTACTGGTTGCTGAATAATTGCTTATTATATTGAGTGAATATCTATAATGGTTATAAAATAGTTCTCCTGATATTTATTATGAATTAGGACAATTCTAGACGAGTTCTTTATTTTATTACCATCCTTGTATTAGTATAAATAATATCAAATTGCTCAGGTAGGCAAATAAGCAACAAAGCTAGATAAAGAAGATACTGAACTTCAGAGAGTGAAGAAAAAAACGTGAATTATATGCATGATGCCTGTACAGTTTAGCCTTCCGCCTGCCTGTAGACACATGGAAAGGTTTGCTGTTTTAGTATTATTAATATCAAGCATTTAAAGCAAAAGTAGGTTATTTGAAATGCTGGAAATGACTATATTGCACACCATTGTTTTGCTCTCTTACAGGTAAATCAAGAAAATCTAAACAACCAAGAAAAATGCAAAGATTTGACAAAGGTTTGTGATTATTAATTGAACATCTCTATTTTGATTTACATAGTTTAATACAGATGCAAGTGTACATTGTGAGCTGTTATGACAAAATGAATCTTGTGGTACAAAAAATGAAAAATTAGTGGCACATTTTATAGACGAATATTAGATATATTTTGTTTTGGTCTTTGAATTATGTTTCTACAGTAGGTTGAGTAAAAACATTTTTAAGCTGAGATGTCTAAAACCATCACCTCTTAAGATAACAACAACAACTAATACCATTAATAAATTTTGTGTTGGTTTTCCTATCAATTCTGAAAAATAGCTTTTCAAAATGTGCCTCAAAACCATTATCTTAGGTAAATCAGTTCAGAACTTTTGCTGCTATTAAATATACAGTATATATTAAACTTATCAGAAACAATAAAAAAAAATTCAAATTTTGTCAAAACATCACTTCTTCAATATAACAGATTAGGTAGCATACCACAAGACTCATTTTGTAAACAACACCTCACATATTCTTTACATAATGTTAAGGTAGTGGAGTATATGGTCTACTGCAGCTATGCTGCTAATGCACATAATTATTGTCAATTTTAATTTCCTCAATAGGGTTTGGAGAAGCATCAACATCAAAAAGACCAAAGTTAGACAAAGGTATGTACTGGGTGCTGAATAATTGCTGATTATATTTAGTGAATATCTGTAATTGTAATAACTATATCCAGTACAGTAATTCACCTGATATTTATTATAAATTTAAGTTATTCACAAGTATTTTGAAGTTCAATTTATATTTATTTGTAAAGAATACGTTCCTGGCACACATTTAAAAAATACAAAGACCAAACAAAGAATTATTCAAATAATTTTTTTTTGTTTTTTGGTTGGCTATGACTTTAGTACTGTTTTATTGGTAATAAACCAAGCACAATTTGATGTAAACTTAATTGAGACTTGCAAGCTTTCGCTATGTAGACGCCCTAAACTAAATTTATGATGACGTACCAGCTACAGTGCTACATCTAAGCTTAGCGATTGGCTATTGTAATGCATAGAATTAGGACAATTCCAGATGGGTTCTACAGTACAGCCGTGAAATATCGCTTCGTATCTGCGCGTAACCACTCGTAGCCTGCTCGTAGGTACCGTTTGGAACGTAGCTACGAACCACTACAAAGGTCATTGTTATTTTAATGAGCTACGAGGCTGGGTCGCAGGGTGTCGTAGTGTTAATAAACAGTTCTTGCAGCACAGGTTCCAAGATGTAACATTGTTTATTGATAGCAATTTTATCATTTATTTTAAACAAACAGTCCAGTACGACCAGACATTTATGTAAAGGTTGCTAAAATTAGGCCTACCTCGGATCAATCATGCTTCGAAATTGCGGTTTTTTTTTTTATTACATACCATACCGTCAACCATGCGCTCAGTCAACCCCACAACGCAACCGCTAGCTAGCTACTGTAGTTAAATTGACACGATATTTACTTCCTTATTTTGACGAAGTTTCAGTTGATTTTCGTTATCTTCTGGCCAATAAAATTCTCAAATATAAATTACAAAGTCTTGTTATGTTGTTATTGTTGTGCTTTGACGGTAATGAAAATAATTATTTAAATTAATACTTCTCCACTGTAATAACTCAAGTCACAGTGTACCATTTCCAAGTTGTACGAACAGTGACGTGCGTGAACCCATCGACGCTCGAGAGCACATGGTTCGTCGGAAGTACTTCCCTATATAATATATTCAAACTACAGTAGTAGTAGTACCATAAAATATATCTCGATGATTAAATACTATGTACGTTAATTTAAACTGCACATTATATATTTACTAACATCGTGAATGATATTATAAAAAAACAAAACACGACAACAGTTATTTCTGGCTCTTTTTCTTTATTGTCTGTAAAAAAAACAAATATTTCATTTGACTGGCGCGTCAGTTGACCTTTTTGGAACGTTGCCAACTAGTCCAGTCTGTTGATTGTCCCAGAATTAATGGCAACAGAAATATTAAATAATTCTTCGTTATTTATTATCATTATTATTACTATTGTTATTATTAATATTATTATTATTAGACATTAATTATAATAGGCATACTGTATGATGAAGTTATAATAATAATAATTTATTTATTTTTATTATTACAGTATTATTATTATTTATTATTATTATTATTGGTTTGTTTTAGTTAATAATACAAAAGATTCACAAATAGATACAAATCGTAATATGAATAAATGTCGATACTTTATTATATCAAGAAATGTAATGCAAAAAAACCCCCAAAAAACAAGTGATAATCATTGCACAGTAATAAGATAGTTAAACGATTTAAATAAATGCCATGTATTATTACATTTTGTTCTCACCACGGCTACTACCAGTGCCTGGAAATGCCATAATGGCTGAGATTTCCCATTACTTTTTGGCAGCGCAGCCGCACATCGGACGTTATCTCAGGGAAAAAAATACGTCATTTTGCTTGTCAACTTTTGATCTGATATTATTCTTATGGTAGTAGGAATTTTCTTCTTTTAAATAATACTGATGACAAATCATGTACAAATTATTACGATTTCTACAGATCACGTTGTCTATTGTTTACCGTAATTTGAAGCGGAACAACCTGCAAAGCGATCCAATACTAAATGGAAGTATAGAAATCACTACCTTGCCGAATTAAGGCTAGTCATGCTAGACCGCATTTACTCCGCTTTTTACTCACTGTTGCTCACAGCTTTTCAACAATCGAATATCAACTGTCTCTTATACACATCGTTCCTGTCGTGGACAGCGAGTGGAAGAGGAGACTCCCATGAAGTCAAGTGTACGTTTTTCTTATTGAAAAACAGTTCCATACTTAAAATTAACGGTCTAAACTCGTGTTTGCCATTCACAAATTATCAAACAATACATTGTTTATTCCAGTAAGCTGCAGCAGTCTTTCTGCACATACAAATAAACAACATGCTTTTGCTTCGTAGGTTCGCCTTGCGTAGCCTTGCTTAGATTGTTTATATCAGGCTACGAAGCCTGCGCGCAGGTTAGATTGTTTATATCAGGCTACGATGTATCTACGAAGCCTGCGCGCAGGTAAAAGTGCAATATTTCACGGCTGTACTGTATGTGTTATTACTATCATTGTACAGGTATTAGTATAATATTGAATTGCCCATGTACAGTAGGCAAATATTGTAACAGACTTAGATGAAGAAGATACTGAACTTCAAAGAGTGAAAAAAACAGAGAATTATATGCATGATGGCTGTACAGCTTAGCTTTCCATCTGCCTGTTGATACACGGAAAAGTTTACTGTTTTACTATTATTAATATCAAACATTTAAAGCAAAAGTAGGGTATTTGAAATGCTGGAAATGACTATATATTGCACACCATTGTTTTGCTCTCTTACAGGTAAATCAGGAAAATTTAAACATCCAAGAAAAATGCGAAGATTTGACAAAGGTTTGTGATTAATAATTAAACATCTCTATTTTGATTTACATAGTTTAATACAGATGCAATAGTTTAATACAGATGCAAGTGTACATATGTGAGCTGTCATGACAAAATGAATCTTCTGGTATAAAAAAATGAAAAATTTGTGGCACATTTTATAGACGAATATAAGATTTTTTTTTTTTGGTCTTTGAATTATGTTTCTACAGTAGGTCGAGTAAAATCATTTTAAGCTGAGATGCCTTAAACTATCACCTCTTAAGATAACAACAACAACTAATAAATTTTGTTTTGGTTTTCCCATCAATTCTGAAAAATAGCTTTTCAAAATATGCCTCAAAACCATTACCTTGGTTAAATTAATTCAGAACTTTTGCTGCTATTAAATATACAGTACAGTATATATTAAACTTATCAGAAACAATTTTAAAAATTCAAATTTTGTCAAAACATCACTTCTTCAATATATCAAATTAGCTAGCGTACCACAAGACCCATTTATTCTAATGCACATAATTATTGTTTCCTCAATAGGTATTGGCGAAGCATCAATATCGAAACAACCAAAGTTAGACGAAGGTATGTACTGGCTGCTTAATAATTGTTTGTTATTTTTAGTCAATATCTGTAATGATGTAAATGTATGATCAATGAATGGATATTAGTCGGTATAATTCATCTGATAAAATGTATTTGTGATTTACTCAATTTTGAGTTACTCCAAATAATGTTTTATAATGTATGTTATTTACAAAAAGTATTTCTAGAAATCAGCATATATATAATTATAATAATAATAATAATAATAATAATACATCAAAAAGTAATTTAATTTAATGTTTGTTTTATACATCACTGTTATTATAGGCTTGCTTGTTTCTCTACTATGCAAGATTGGACATCAGTGTGGGATAGGGGGGAGGTGATGATATCTGGGTGATTATAATTATTGATAAAGTAAACAATATCTTTATAAATAGTTCCTATCAATTAAACCCACTACATTGATCGTTTGAAACATCCAAATTAATATCATAATTTAATCTAAAAATCAAAAATTTATATTTTTAGGCGTCACTGTTTAAAGAACCATAACAAAAATATGGATTATATCAAAATGAATATATCTCACACTAATGTTTTGCTTATAATGCCCAATGATACATTTTACAGACAAGTCAGAACAATCAGTACAACCACAAAGGTCAAGGGCAGATGAAGGTGTGTTTATTTAATAGCAGATTATATTGAAATTTTAAGTACATTCTAACAAGAACTAAATTATTCATAGACAAGTTATAGAGTAGTTACGTATTGCACACTGGAAAGTAGTTAAGTTGCGCGCTTCACAATACCGGTACTGTTACAAATGTACAGTAGATGACAAGTGTATAAATTAATTCGTATTTCAAAATTGGCATTAGCCTATCAATCAAATTAACATATTGCAACTGAATGTTTAAATTATTAAAATTATACAATATTTGATCTTCAGTTGCATCATAATTTGAGTGGGAGGCAGTGGACAGCGGGGCCCAAAGCATCAGGTGTCTGATAGCATATTTCTAATTAAAAGAAAATTGTGTTCCCAGATAACAATGGGAATTCTTAACATAGGCGATCCAACAAAATTTGCAATTCAAAAATACCCAGATCACCAGATCACAAGTGTGCTTCTTCTTCTTCATATCCATTTCTGGACCTCTGACTAGGGCCAAGTATACCCTAGCCCTACTATAGCACAAGGTTGCTCACTTTACTCAGAATTACAACAGGCTTGTATAGGGCTAACGTTCTCCTCCTAGCCTAGAACCCTGACTCATGCATGATGTCACTGTTCTTGGTGCCACCATCAACACCCCCCTTCCCCTGCTTGTTCTCTCGCACCTTGCATTATCCACGCCCCCCCCCCCCATTGCTAAATCTTAGGATGCACAACCTACTCTTGCCTGAAGCTGCATTGGTCCAGTATTTGAATGTACATGGAACACCACTATGAGTTTAAGCTGCTGTATGTGGTTTTAAAAAAAAATTCAAAATCAAACTAAATATTTATTATATTGATACTAATGATGAGGGTAATGATAAAGCTTAGGGTGGTGGTGAATGAGGAAGAAAGAACAAGTAAATAATTAGAGCTACAAAAATATTTCTGCAATCATTATGAAAATGATAATACTAGGAATAGGTTCAGAGAGGGACAGTTAAAGGAGGGTCTACACCACCTTAGCCCCATCTTGGTTGGGGGCAGAGACACAACATTTTATGGCACATGTAGTTAGCCTGAAATGGCAATCTCAGACTTTAATTTTTAATATAATTTTTTTTAATAAATATTTTTTTTCTTCAACTTTTTAATTTTAAAAAGAATAGAGACCTCAGGTAGGATTCCCTCACCCCACCCTCTTTCCCAATTGAATAACTTGTTCGTTTATTCATCTAGATGAAAATTCTGGATTTGTATCAGAATATGGTATTGAAGTCATTGAAATGAATGATGTAAGGTAGAAGTGTAATAGGAACTTAATTATATATATAATAGCTATCGATTAATTTCCCATCGATTTATAATCAGGTGGTACTGGGGTGGGGCAACTTAATTTCCTGCTCCACAACAAGTCATCCATTCATAGAAACCTTTATGAAGAAAGCCTACCTAAAATGGCCTAGAATGGCATAGACCAGCTATCTCCGGCTTTGAATATAGGAAGATTGAAATGTATTAATAGAGTATACAATGTACACAGTGTTCCTTTGAAAATGTATATTAAGTATATGTTAGTAATAATAATGTAGGTTTATTGTTATTATTTGTTTTGAACTATTTCAGATATAATTATCAAAGATTCCCTGATGACAAGGCAAAAAGAACTGTATCAGAATGAGAATCGTATGACACCAGCAATCTGGCATAAAGGTCATAAAGTAGATATTGCAAAAGTTTTCACTGAACTCAAGTTGCTGCAATCTAAAAAAGAAGACAAAGGAAAAGAAGACAAGTCAACATGTACAAAAAAGGAAGGTAGACCCACATCATTAACAAAGGCATTAGATGTTATTAAGTCAACAGATTCATGTAAGGCTGTCTCTTATACACATCTAGATGTGTATAAGAGACAGAATTAACATATTGCAACTGAATGTTTAAATTATTAAAATTATACAATATTTGATCTTCAGTTGCATCATAATTTGAGTGGGAGGCAGTGGACAGCGGGGCCCAAAGCATCAGGTGTCTGATAGCATATTTCTAATTAAAAGAAAATTGTGTTCCCAGATAACAATGGGAATTCTTAACATAGGCGATCCAACAAAATTTGCAATTCAAAAATACCCAGATCACCAGATCACAAGTGTGCTTCTTCTTCTTCATATCCATTTCTGGACCTCTGACTAGGGCCAAGTATACCCTAGCCCTACTATAGCACAAGGTTGCCTGTCTCTTATACACATCTAGATGTGTATAAGAGACAGATGCACAACCTACTCTTGCCTGAAGCTGCATTGGTCCAGTATTTAAATGTACATGGAACACCACTATGAGTTTAAGCTGCTGTATGTGGTTTTCAAAAAAAATTCAAAATCAAACTAAATATTTATTATATTGATACTAATGATGAGGGTAATGATAAAGCTTAGGGTGGTGGTGAATGAGGAAGAAAGAGCAAGTAAATAATTAGAGCTACAAAAATATTTCTGCAATCATTATGAAAATGATAATACTAGGAATAGGTTCAGAGAGGGACAGTTAAACGAGGGTCTACATCACCTTAGCCCCATCATGGTTGGGGGCAGAGACACAACATTTTATGGCACATGTAGTTAGCCTGAAATGGCAATCTCAGACTTTAATTTTTAATATAATTTTTTTTAATAAATTTTTTTTTTCTTCAACTTTTTAATTTAAAAAAAATAGAGACCTCAGGTAGGATTCCCTCACCCCACCCTCTTTCCCAATTGAATAACTTGTTCGTTTATTCATCTAGATGAAAATTCTAGATTTGTATCAGAAAATGGTATTGAAGTCATTGAACTGAATGATGTAAGGTAGAAGTGTAACAGGAACTTAATTATATATATAATAGCTATCGATTAATTTCCCATCGATTTATAATCAGGTGGTACTCGGGTGGGGCAACTTAATTTCCTGCTCCACAACAAGTCATCCATTCATAGAAACCTTTATGAAGAAACCTACATAAAATGGCCTAGAATGGCATAGACCAGCTATCTCCGGCTTTGAATATAGGAAGATTGAAATGTATTAATAGAGTATACAATGTACACAGTGTTTAAGTAATAATAATGTAGGTTATATTATTGTTTGTTTTGAACTATTTCAGATATAATTATCAAAAATTCCCTGATGACAAGGCAAAAAGAACTGTATCAGAATGAGAATCGTATGACACCAGCAATCTGGCATAAAGGTCATAAAGTAGATATTGCAAAAGTTTTCACTGAACTCAAGTTGCTGCAATCTAAAAAAGAAGACAAAGGAAAAGAAGACAAGTCAACATGTACAAAAAAGGAAGGTAGACCCACATCATTAACAAAGGCATTAGATGTTATTAAGTCAACAGATTCATGTAAGGTATTAATAACAGGGAAGGGAGGAATGGGTAAGACTACCCTCCTTAAGTATATTGCTCATCAGTGGGCTACTGATGATGAATATGTCTTTGCTGATAAATTACTGTTTCTGATAAATATCAGGGAAATTAAAGCAAGTAAAACGTTTTTGGACATAATATTGAACAAAATTGATTGCAAAGCAATAATATTGAAGAATAATTTGTCATCTTATTCAGTTGAAAGGTTCTTGGTCACACATGATGATAAAATAGTATTTTTGTTAGATGGATATGATGAGTTAGAAAGAAATTCTAAGGACCCAATAGATCTTTTCAAAAAAAGTGAATTTCAAAAAAGCACGGTGGTGATAACATCTCGACCAGACAACACAGCTGATTTGCTTGAATACTGTGATGTACGTATTGAAGTAAAGGGATTCAGTCCAAGTAACATAAAGAAGTATATTCAAAATTATTTTCATTCAATCAGGGAAATCGAAATTGGCGATTCATTAATAAAAGAGTTTGGACTTGATTCAGAGCACCCATGGTATAGGAAAGACCTGTATGAGGGTGGTAAACACAAAGAAGCATTTGAATTGTGTTCATCTCCACTGTTGTTGCTTCAGATTTGTACCATATGGGAACTAAAACGAGTTCTTCCTGAATATTTGCCCGATCTTTTCAAGGACCTCATTTGTTGTATTTTAAATCAATACTTAAACAGGGCTGGCAATAAAACTGCTATTGCCAATTTTGAAAGAATTCAAGATATATATAAATCTGCCTTTTTAATTTTAGGAGAATGTATGTATGAAGGACTAAAGAAAAATATATTATCTATTGACAGATACGATTTGTCAAATGTGACACAGAATAAAACATTATTAGATTTAGCACTGGAACTTGGGTTTGTTTATGAAGATACCCCTGCTAATCCAGGGGATGTAAGAGAGATGTACACGCCACCACATAAATTAATGTCAGAGGCGCTAGCAGGGCTGTACCTGTCTACAGAAATTCAGAAAGGGAGTTCAAAGGTTGAGTATGAGGAAATCCGATGTAATGAATATTTAAATATGACGAGGGTGTTTGCAATAGGATTTTTAGGTGCTGATGCTGATAAGTTGCTGAAACCATGGTTGATAGTCAGGGCCTCAAATTATTGCTCAATAGTACAATGTTTAAAACATGTAAAGAAAGAGAATGAAGATGATATTTTAGTGAAATTGGATAAGCTCATGTCCAACGATATGAAAGCACATAGTGAGCAAATGTTGGAGTCATTTAGAAGTCTTATAAATGATGACAGAGACATATCAAGTATGCATTTATTCAAACTCATGAAAAGATGTAGCATTGAATATCATCCTTACAATCTTGAAGCAGCAGCAGTATCTTTGATAAATAGGTGCAGGGAAAGGCAGTGCCAAATTGTTGTACATACCTTAGTGTTATTACAAGTAATGAATCAGCGTCGGACACCAGACCTTCTACTTAATTGTATTTCAAAATGGGAAAATGAAGAAATCAATTTACTTTCAGCTGAGATGAAAAAAAATCATTTTATATATACTTTGACTTCCATTAGGTTTGATTTTCAACTGAGTTCAGCATTCTTAATTCATTTCCTTAAATATGCAAGTAACTTAGATAGCTTGCACTTATGGAGTAACACATTGGTCACAGGTACAGCTGTCTCTTATACACATCTAGATGTGTATAAGAGACAGGTGTAGGCTATCAGGTTGTACTTTGGGGGCAATGATCACAGAATGCCAGAACAGTGAAGATACAGTATGCAATAGTCACAAGTTGGTCACAGGTGCTATACACAATGCAGTTATTAATGATTTGGACAATGCCAATATAAAGTTAGAATTAGAAACACTTGATATTAGTGGCAATGATCTAAATGATATTGATGGAACACTACTGGGAAAATTATTTAAAATAGCTCCTAAATTAAAATATCTAAATGTAAGAAAGTGTAGGCTATCAGGTGGTACTTTGAGGTCAATGATCACAGAATGCCTGAACAGTGAAGATACAGTAGACCATGTTTTGAAACACTACAGGCTTGTACTGGAGGGCAATGACCTTTCAGATATTGATGATACATCAGTTGCTGATTTAGTCAGTGTAGATTGTCATTATGAATTTGGTGGTTATTATGATGATGATGATGATGATGATACAATTTTCATTGTGAGTGATTATTCTCTTACTTTTGATAACATAGAAAAGCTTGTTGAATCAGTAGGTGAAAATATAACATTGGATTGGGGTAGTATAGATCTGAGTGGGATTAACATGTCTTCAATAAGTGGAATAACATTAGCTCGCCTATTTAGGATCTGCCCAGACCTGAACCATATTGACATGAGTTACTGCAGTTTATCAGGCAGGATTGTTAATGAAATGGTAGAAGAATGTTGTAGGATGAATGTAGAATTATACTGCATCATGCTTAGTCTAAAAGGCAATAACTTTTCAGATATTGATGGTAAATCACTTGCAGAGTTAGTCAGGGTAATTTGTCAATTTGATTCAGATTATTATGGCATTTTCAGTTGGAGTGATTATTCTCTTACAGCTGGTAACCTGGAAATGCTGGTTGAATCAGTAGGTGAAAATATAACTCTGAATTGGCAATTTATAGATTTGAGTAATATTAACCTATCTTCAATCAGTGGAAAAACATTAGCTTGCCTTGTTAAGATTTCTCCAGACATGATCCATATTGACATGAGTTACTGCAGTTTATCAGGCAGGATTGTTAATGAAATGTTTGTGGAATGTAGTGCTATGAATGCAGTGTTGGATGTCAACATGCTCAATCTGCAGGGCAACAACCTTTCAGATGTTGATGGTAAATTATTGGCAGAAATAATCATAGTATTGCATAAGCCTATTATCCCTTTTATTTGGAGTGATTATTTTCTTACAGCTGATAATCTAGAAAAGCTGGTCGAATCAGTAGCTGAAGAAAATATAATACTGAATTGGCAAGTGATAGATTTGAGTAATATTAACCTATCTTCAATCAGTGGAAGAACATTAGCTTGCCTTGTTAAGATTTCTCCAGACCTGGTCCATATTGACATGAGTTACTGCAATTTATCAGGCAGGATTGTTAATGAAATGATAGAAGAATGCTGTGGGATGAATGTAGTATTGAAAAACAAGATGATTAATCTGGGGGGTAATGACATTTCAGATATTGTAAATCACTTGTAGCAAATTTGACGATAACTAATGAATTGTGTAAAACAAACATACACCACATGCTTATATCATACTGTATATATGTATCAATCAAATTAAGCAATCACATGCTGTTATGTTTTATACAAATAGGATAACTGTACGTTACAATGCAACTACAAAATAATATACGACCAATGCATTCAGTTTTGTGTACTTAATATTTGTTTATTTACCATAGTATCCTTTAAAATTGAGGCAATTGACAAAGTAATGGTACTGGACCCCTATTACCCTTTTAAGTACACTATGTTAATATATGCGTTGGTATGCGTGTGTGTGTGGCAGGATTGTTAATGAAATGGTAGAAGAATGTTGTAGGATGAATGTAGAATTATACTGCATCATGCTTAGTCTAAAAGGCAATAACTTTTCAGATATTGATGGTAAATCACTTGCAGAGTTAGTCAGGGTAATTTGTCAATTTGATTCAGATTATTATGGCATTTTCAGTTGGAGTGATTATTCTCTTACAGCTGGTAACCTGGAAATGCTGGTTGAATCAGTAGGTGAAAATATAACTCTGAATTGGCAATTTATAGATTTGAGTAATATTAACCTATCTTCAATCAGTGGAAAAACATTAGCTTGCCTTGTTAAGATCTCTCCAGACATGATCCATATTGACATGAGTTACTGCAGTTTATCAGACAGGATTGTTTATGAAATGATAGAAGAATGCTGTGGGATGAATGTAGTATTGAAAAACAAGATGATTAATCTGGGGGGTAATGACATTTCAGATATTGTAAATCACTTGTAGCAAATTTGACTATAACAAATGAATTGTGTAAAACAAACATACACCACATGCTTATATCATACTGTATATATGTATCAATCAAATTAAGCAATCACATGCTGTTATGTTATATACAAATAGGATTACTATACGTTACAATGCAACTACAAAATAATATACGACCAATGCATTCAGTTTTATGAGATTAATATTTGTTTATTTATCGTAGTATCCTTTAAAATTGAGGCAATTGACAAAGTATTGGTTCTGGACCCCTATTACCCCTTTATGTACACTATGTTAATATATGCATTGGTATGCGTGTGTGTGTATATTATACTGTATATATTTTTCGTCGTAAGTTGTGAAAGAATGGCGAACCTCAATTTTGTACATTTTTGGTTGGTCAGGCGTGGCCAACACAATTTTTTTTTTATTTGGCCTTAAAAAATGTAATTATGTGTTTCATTAAGTAACTTTGCACTATCAGATTTACTTTGCTAGTAAGTTATATTACATCGGTCGTTTATATCAAATGAATAATTGCATACTTCTGATTAACTACTGTAGATTATGTTCTGGTTTTAACAACTGTGCACCTCTGTTTTAAAGCCAGGCTTCAGAGTAATTATTATTATTTATCATTATCATTATTATTATTATTATTATTATTATTATCATTATCATTATTATTATTATTATTATTATTATTATCATTATTATTATTATTATTATTATTATTTTTATTATTATTATTATTTTTATTATTATTATTATTATTATTATCATCATTATTATTATTATTATTATTATTATTATACGTTGTACAATTGATTTTTCTAAGACACAATGAGCAAATTTGACAAAATACTTGAAATTGGTTAAAATGTGATGCAACATAACAAACATTTTTGCCTCCAGAGTCTGCCTTTAAAATATTATGTTATCTACTGTATTTTTTGCAATTTGTAAATTATAACCCTATATAACGTTAATCTTCAATATACTAGAAACTACTGGATATTTTAATAGATTTGAAAACTGCAGCTGTACATAATTTAGTTTTTTAATATTGCTTTCAACAACTGTATAAGATTGATTTGCTTGATTATTCAAATAAAAATTATTTGTATGTATGTACTATGTTTGCATTGTTGTGTGTCTATTTGCACGTGCTGACCTCTCTCCATTGGGGGCAAGGTTCAAACCGGTTCACTGAGCCCAGTGCGCCTCTCCCCCCCCCCCCCATTATGTTCATCAGACAGGCCTAGATTCCCATCGATCGACAACGAATTCGTCAGACCAAAAATATTAATTTGCCTATCTCCATAACATATTTTTGATTGCCAGTCTGTATATATTGTGGTCTAAAATCACAATTTTGGGCCATACTAAGCCGGTCATGAAAACTCTCCTTTTAAACACTAAGGGGGAATATATTCTGGGACATGACTGATGCTACAATCGTACATTGTGACTATGAAGGTGTTATTATAGCAATTCTATTAACACACTCATGCATGGAAACAGGGCTGATAAACAGATGTGATGGTGATGATAAGGATGGATAAATAGATGGTTGAATGATGATGAATGTGATGGATGGAAGAATGAATGAGGATGATGGAATGGATGGCAGGGGTGGGTGGATGAGGATAGATGATGACAAGGATGGTGGATGAGAAATGAAGGATAGTTGATGGATGGAAAATGAAGAATGGAAGAAGAATATGGAAGAATAATAATGGAAGAAAAATGGAGGACACAGGAAGAAGAATTTAATTCAATACAAATTTCATTATTGCAATCACATATAAAAATACAGATTGAATTTGCAAAAAAATACAATAAGATTCGATCATTTCAAAAATACATAAAAATTCAAATTCAAAATTGAAAAAGAGCGGACAGATCGAAAACAAGCAGACACGATTACTTTTGATTTATTTTAAATTTATTTTTCTATTTCTGTTTTTCATGCATTAATTTATTATTTATTTATTTATTTTTTTTTTTAATGCTTTTTAATCATCAACTAAAAACTTGGTTAGTCGATTTTTAAGGAAAGCATGCTTTAAGGCATTTGTATTCTTCATTTGCTTCCTTTCTCTTTTCATTTTCATTAACTTTATTTTAAAACTGCTTATATAATAATATGTTTATATTACAATTTATTCTATTTAACTTTATTTAACTCTATTTTTATATATATTATATTATGTAGTACATATAATATATACCGGTACTATATTGTAACTTAGTACCCTATAGTTGCATGGTACCTAAGGCATTCATCACTCCAGTTCCTCAGGGGCGGATCTATTGCATCTAGAGGGGGTGGGGGTGTCAGAGTTTTTTTCATAAAAACGTCGATTTTTCCTCTTCAGTGTTAAACGACTACTAAATTAAAATAGGCCTATCAACTAATATGTACAAGTTGCATATTCATTACAAATAAACTATTTAAACAATGTATATAGAGAGTCAGAGCTGATAGAAATAAACTATTTGAGTGGCGGTACGAAACAAAGGGTATACGTAGATAAGAAAGTATAATACATACTCCAAGTATTGAAATACACGCCATCGTGTTGGGATTCAATATTTCGACATTAATTATGTCATCATCAGGATCATCAGGATGATGACATAATTAATGTCGAAATATTGAATCCCAACACGATGGCGTGTATTTCAATATTTGGAGTATGTATTATACTTTCTTATCTGAGATTAATCAGACCCCCAACCCTCTTTTTTGGGCGTTTTTATGAAAAAAAAGTCTGACACCCCACCCTCTTTAAATGCGATAGATCCGCCCCTGCGGAACAGAAGGGATGAATGCCAGGTACCATGCAACTATAGGGTACTAAGTTACAATATAGTACCGGTATATATTATATGTACTATATAATTAATTATACATTATATATATATATATAAATAGAGTTAAATAGAATAAATTGTAATATAAACATATTATTATATAAGCAGTTTTAAAATAAAGTTAATGAAAATGAAAAGAGAAAGGAAGCAAATGAAGAATACAAATTCCTTAAAGCATGCTTTCCTTAAAAATCGACTCTTTAAAATCGGTTCTTATCCTACTATCATTAGTAATTACGGCTTGATTTTATTATTATTTTTTTTTTTTTACAATTATGTTAGATCATTATTTTATTTCTTATTGGGCCTTCCATAGATGCAAAGTTAGTTTGTGATGAAAACCTCAATCAACAAGGAAGAATTTTTAGTTATGTTAGGCGTATCTGCAAATTACGTATGTTGATACATTTATCAGTTTGTTTATTAATTATTCTGTTATGTGTGATACATGATTGTGTGTAGATTTATCGTAAATTGATAGATGATAATGAATCACCAACTTGCTTTGTGCAGGCCTAGGTTAACCTACTCACGCAGCTTATTTATGGCGATGTCACATACCAAGAATTAGGCCTAGGGCCTAGTCACTAGGCCCAAAACCAAATCAGGCCCAAAACCAAATCAGCCCCAAACCAACTCGGAACTCGGCCTAAGCCTAGACGACACTTCGGCCCAAAACCAACACGGACCAAACCCAACTCGGCCCGAACGATTCCAATGTGCTCACTGAAAAAAGAAAAAAAACCTGCTGGGGGTAGCCAGTATAAAAAATATAACAGCAGGCCTACCGTTTACTTTAAGATGACGCATAATGTGAAAAAAAAAAAAAAAGGTTAACGCATAATGTAAAAAGGTTTTACGCTTAATGTAAAAAAAATAACACATAATGTAAAAACCAACGTATAATGTAAAAACGTTTGATGAATAATGTAAAAACATTTTCTAACGCGTAATTTAAACATTTTATATCGCATAATGTAAATAAAAACCTAAAAAACTGTGTATGTAGACAGTTTGAATTAAATGTACCAGAATAAATCTGTGTCTTTGTGTGTTTTGTTTTGCTTTACCGTACATATAGGCCTAGGCCTATAAAATACATTATTTTATAAAGGTATGTTAAGATTTTTCTAAAAATTAATTTATTGGACTTGTAATATAATTCGAATATAAAAAATAAATAATAAGAAATAGTATAATAAAAAACAATATTAGGCTTATATTAATTAATAATTATATTATAATAATAATAATACTAAAATAATAAAAATAATACATATAATATAATAAAAAATATAATTCCAATAATATAAAAATAAATAATAAAAATAGTTATACTAAAAACGTTTACATAAAAACTTTTCTGTCGTGAATTGAAAAAAATAAACAAGAAAAACTTTGTATGTTCAATACCTATGTTTGAATTATTTCCTGTCTCTTATACACATCTAGATGTGTATAAGAGACAGGTATATATACATGTATATAGGCTTATATACTTTATTTTATAAAGGTATGTTAAGATTCTTATAACAAATAATCAATCAGACTAGTAATAATTTGAATAACATAAAAAATAAATAATAAGATTAATAGTAAAAAAAAACCCAATATATTTAAAGCCTATATATGATATTCAAAAAATTATAGTGATAATTATACTAAAAGAATAATAAAAAAATAATAGTTACAAAAATAACAGTATAATGATTATAAAATATGTAATTCAGATAATATAAAAATAAATAACGGTAATAAGAATAGTTATACTAAAAACATTTACTTAAAAACTTCAGTCGTGAAAAAAAAAAAAAACATGTATGTAGCCAGTTTGAATTAAATTTACTTGAATAAATCTGTATATTAATGTATTTTGTTTTGCTCTATTGTATTCATACAAATATATATATATAAGCCTATACATTATTTTATAAAGGTATGTTAAGATTCTTCTGAAAAATAATGGGACTAGAATTCGGATAATGTAAAAAACAATATTAGGGCCTATACAGTATATGGTATTAATAATAATAATAATACTAAAATCATAATAATTAATATAAGATAATAATTATAAAATATATAATTTTGATAATATAAAAATTTAAAAAAATGAGAATAGTTATACTAAGAATAATATTTATAATTATGATAATAAAAATACTAAAGTAATAATAATATTATTTATTAGTCGTATTCAACATCTAATTTCATTGAATTGTCATTTGGGTAATGGGTAATCGCGATCGCTATTCATTTGGGTAATTCTGTATCATTTGGGTAGTTGTCTTCGGGGCCGTGAGTGCTGGTTTTGTCCGAGTTGTCACCAGGGACGAGTTGGTTTTTTGGTCCGAGTTGGTTTTGGGGCGAAGTGTCGTCTGGGCCGAGTTGGTTTTGGTCCGAGTTGGCTTGGGCCAAAGTGTCCTGCTACCGAAATACAGTACTTTGGTGTTCGTTGGCCATTCATTACTCATTAGTTAGACAAATGCTGAGTATACATTATGCATTCGCCATGGCAAAGTTTTGGATGAATGGGATGTATTTGGACAAACAACGGACGGAGAGAAAACCTAAACCCAGCATGCACTCAACGAATGCTCATCGTATACATAGCATATTTAGCAAAATGTTGTCATACGTTCAAAATTTTGAACATGTCCAAAATTTATAATCAACCCCAGCGTACCTCTCCGTACTTCTACGAACAGCTAACGAATACAACGTCAAAGGTATTACAAATGTGTCACGAACTAATAGGCAGTTTTTGCCGCACAGGTTTTTCAATTTGTTTACAAAAGGGGTGGAGCTATCGCGCTGCATCTTTGGTACTAACATTAAAGTTAAGGTTAACATTGTGCGGCAAAAACTACCTAATGTCAACTTACGCGAACGTAAACCAAAATTTTTATAAACATCTGCATACGTTGGCTCTATTCGCTACATTGTGACAGGGGCTTTACCACAGAGTAACGTAAATGTGATTGCCCTGAATGCACTCTAAATCAGTGTCGTAGCTACGGGCAGTGCACCCAGTGGAAAGCACTGGGGCCCAGTGCTATTAAGGGCCCATTCATAGACCTAAATATAATAATTTAAAATAATTTCCAACTTTTTTTGAAGAATAAAGCGGCCAGTCAGCCCTCAATAATATTCGGTCTTTAGAGGAGTAAATATTGATTACTGTCTTGATTTCAAATCAGTGGTGTATTCAAGGGTGTCCCAGCCCAGTCACTTTTTGACGTTCACAGCGATGTTGGTAAAGCGGCGATAGTTTAAAATGGTTGAAGTTTTACGTCGAGATTTTTACTTCAACTTATGGACTAAAGACTTCATTAATCAATACAGTAAAACAATACTGTTGCTATATATAATGTATTTTTTGTTTAAGGCTTGGCATTTGTATTATCAGGTTAAAGTTCTCACTACATCACTACCTGCATTATTTTTCAAATTCATTCTGATTTAATTGCATAGAAAATAGCCTCATTACAACACCTCAATCTGTTTGAAAGTCTTTCAATAGGGCCCCTCTATTTCTATTTCCTCCCTGTTTCCAATTCCTGGATCCGCCACTGCCATCTTCAATACATATGTTATGAATTATTTCGGCTCATTGTTTACAAACAAGGAAAGCTGTTACTATTCATGTTTCTATAATTTATTTTCCATGAACTGGTGAAATTAGCCACTCTACAATCCATTAAATTATGTCCTCTAATCCTCTAAAGGACCATAGCTTTGCTTCGCTCCTACTCCCCACCAGGGGTCTGCCCCTTGATCCCACCAAGGCCCTAGGCAGGCCCAGATCCCCCTGCTATTGACCCTGACAACTAAGCCTACCCGAGGTGCATGGCCACTCTCAACAGCCCTGTCATTACACCAATATTTATTGAAAATATAATTCCGTTTAGTTATTTACATTCCTCTAATAAACCAATAACAGACCACAGAACCCTCTAATACCTCTTTACGTACAAAGGAACATACGCCCCTTTTCCAAAAAGGTTCTGGTTGATTTATTCCTTTTATTTTATAGAGCAGCATGTTAGTATAGAGGCAGCTTGACTGACACCTTAAAAAACATTGTGTTCTGCTACAGTATGTGAGGAAAGTAGATAACAACACAAGAATACCAGATATTGGTAAGTGGAAAGATATTTCCTTTTTTTCATATTAATAAGATGTTAGGCTTTTATATAGCGCTTTTTGCCAACAGGGCCTGTAAGCACTTCACATTATTACCCCAGTCATTAGATTAAACGCCTATGGAACACAAACCCAAGCTTCCTGGGGAGTATTCCATTATCAGCACTTTTTGGCATTTAACCCCACCAGGTACCCATGATAAATTACTCCTAGGTGGAGAAAAGCAATGCAGATAAAGTGTCTTACCCAAGGACACAAGTTAAATGAACAGTGAGGGGTTGAAACAGATGAATTCGCCTACCATTGACCCTAGACAACTAATCCATACAGTATAACTAACTGCTGCTATATACAATGTATTTTTGTTTAAGACTTGGCATTTGTATTATCAGGTTAAAGTTCACACTACAGCATTACCTTTATTATTTTTTCAAATTCATTCTGATTTATTTGCATTGAAAATAGCCCTATTACAACACCTCAATCTGTGAAAGTCCTTCAATAGGGCCCCTCTATTTCCAATTCCTCTCTATTTCCAACTCCTGGATCCGCCACTGCCATCTTCAATACCTATGTTATAAATTATTTCGGCTCAGTGTTTACAAACAAGGAAAGCTGTTACTATTCATGTTTCTATAATTTATTTTCCATGAACTGGTGAAATTAGCCACTCTACAATCCATTAAATTATGTCCTCTAATCCTCTAAAGGACCATAGCTTCGCTCCTCCCCCACCAGGGTCTGCCCCTTGATCCCACCAAAGCCCTAGGCAGCCCCAGATCCCCCTACAATTGACCCTATACAACTAAGCCTACCCGGCCACTCTCAACAGCCCTGTCATTACATCAATATTTATTGAAAATATAATTGCATTTAGTTATTTACATTCGTACAAAGGAACATACGTCCCTTTCCATAAAGGTTCTGGTTGATTTATTCCTTTTATTTTAAAGAGCAGCATGTTGGTAGAGGCAGCTTGACTGACACCTTAAAAAACATCATGTTCTGCTATGTGAGAAAAGTAGATAACAACACAAGAATACCAGATATTGGTAAGTGGAAAGATATTTCATTTCTTCATAATATGTTAAACTTTTATGTAGCGCTTTTTGCCAACAGGGCCTGTAAGCACTTCATATTATTACCCCCAGTCATTGGATTAAACGCCTATGGAACACAAACCCAAGCTCCCTGGGGGAGTATTCCATTATCAGCACTTATTGACATTCAACCCCACCAGGTACCCATGATAAATTACTCCTAGGTGGAGGAAAGCATGCAGATAAAGTGTCAATACCCAAGGACACAAGTTAAATGAACAGTGAGGGGTTGAAACCAAGACCAAGTTGAGAAACCAAACTGTCCCCACTGCGCCAAACCACTTCTCTTAATTGTAATGTAGGCCTATTATCGAGTGTTATTTTATAGCTATGGTTAATAATTTGTAATGTAAAATTATATACCTGTATTGCTGCATGCAGTGATTTTTGATGAGCATCCACCTATCATTAATAAGATAAATAATTTGGTGAGGAGTTGTAACACAACTTGATATCTTTATTTTTCACTGTGCAGGATTTACTGTGGTAGTGATTGTTTAATTTTCATAATTGGGGGCAGATTTAATGCCCCATTCCAAAAGTATTGAAAGAAAGGGAAAGAAATCATTTGTTGCCCAAACTGCGTTACAGATTACTCCTGTGGGTTTAAGAAAATAATAAAAATTTGTACAGTTGTCTTAAGCAACATTAAAATATATATATATTTTCATTTTTGTTTAGATTAAATTTTAATTCTATCCTGTTCTCAAGCCAGGCTTGAAACTCTAGTGTGACCGTAGCCTATGTTATGAATTATTTCGGCTCATTGTTTACAAACAAGGAAAGCTGTTACTATTCATGTTTCTATAATTTATTTTCCATGAACTGGTGAAATTAGCCACTCTACAATCCATTAAATTATGTCCTCGAATCCTCTAAAGGACCATAGCTTCGCTTCGCTCCTACTCCCCAACAGGGGTCTGCACCTTGATCCCACCAAGGCCCTAGGCAGGCCCAGATCCCCCTACCATTGACCCTAGACAACTAAGCCTACCCGAGGTGCATGGCCACTTTCAACAGCCCTGTCATTACATCAATATTTATTGAAAATATAATTCCATTTAGTTATTTACATTCCTCTATTATAAACCATTAACAGACCACAGAACCCTCTAATACCTTTTTACATACGTACAAAGGAACATACGCCTCTTTTCCAAAAAGGTTCTGGTTGATTTATTCCTTTTATTTTATAGAGCAGCATGTTGGTATAGAGGCAGCTTGACTGACACCTTAAAAAACATCATGTTCTGCTCTGTGAGAAAAGTAGATAACAACACAAGAATACAGTACCAGATATTGGTAAGTGGAAAGATATTTCATTTTTTCATATCAATAATATGTTAAACTTTTATATAGCGCTTTTTGCCAACAGGGCCTGTAAGCACTTCACATTATTACCCCCCAGTCATTGGATTAAATGCCTATGGAACACAAACTCAAGCTCCCCGGGGGAGTATTCCATTATCAGCACTTATTGACATTTAACCCCACCAGGTACCCAGGATAAATTACTCCTAGGTGGAGAAAAGCAATGCAGATAAAGTGTCTTACCCAAGGACACAAGTTAAATGAACAGTGAGGGATTGAAACCAAGACCAAGTTGAGAAACCAAACTGTCCCCACTCCGCTAAACCACTTCTTTTATTGTGATGTAGGCCTATTATCGAGTGTTATTTTATAGCTATGGTTAATAATTTGTAATGTAAAATTATATATTGCTGCATTTTATTTGATATACATGCAGTGATTTTTGATGAGCATCGACCCATCATTAATAAGATAAATAATTTTGGTGAGGAGTAATACAATTTAATATCTTTATTTTTCACTGTGCAGGATTTACTGTGGTAGTGATTGTGTAATTTTTCATAATTGGAGGCAGATTTAACGCCCCTTTCCAAAAGTATTGAAAGAAATCATTTGTTGCCTAAACTGCATTCGAGATTACTTCTGTGGGTTTAAGAAAATAATAATAATTTGTAAAGTTAATATATAATATTATATATATTTTTTCATTTTTGTTTAGATTAAATATTAATTCTATCAATTCAAGCAATACCACCATAAGTGATAATTAAGAACCCAGTGTCTTCAAATATTTACAATCTCATATCTGAGTTTGCAGTATTACAATGTGTAAATCACCATTCAGGGAAGTTTATTGTGAACTCACCAAGAAAGGTCTGCACATCAACAAGCCTTGCCTTGGGATATATTATAGTCAGGCTTTATCAAACTCGTGTTAGTGTTGAATTTATTATAAAGTTTTTAAATGTAGTATTTCTTTAAATAAATGAAAATGTGTTATTTAGCAATTATTTTAAAAGAAATAAAATCAATCAAAGTCCTAATATTTGTTGGTTGAATCTAATATTTAAAAAAAATGTTTTTTAATTACAGATAGCTTGCTACAGTTAATTCATTAGCATATTCAACCAGACCAGCAGTCTTCATTACCAGGCAGAAAAATGATGAATATTCATTGAAATCAACTTGAAACTGCAAAACTCAGGAAAACAGCAAAACTGACACCAAGTCCAGAACAACTTCTGAGAGGCATATATATCTTTCAGCGGGGCCAAGGGTGGTGGGTGGCGCGTAGGTTCCACGGCAGCCGAATGCCTATGATAGGCGATCGCTTCCGCTTGGATCCTCCCGACTGTCTTAATGCGCGAGATGCTGCCGAAATTTTCAAAAAAAGTTTTGGTAACATTTATTGGATTGTAAGTGTTGTTTGAAATACATTACGCTACAAAAGAGTTGTAGTACAATGAAAATGGTGTTGGCAATTAGTTTTATTCAAGTCCAGAATTTCATTTAAGTCCAGAATAGGACTCAACCATTTACACTAAAGTCAAAAATTTTAACTAAGTCCAGAATGGGAGTAATATTTTACACTAAGTCCAGAATAGGACTCAACCATTTACATTAATTTAAAAAAGAATTCTTTTTAAAGTCTAGAAATTTACATTAAGTCCAAGATGGGACCAATAATTTACACTAAGTTTCACTTCGTCCAGCATAGGACTCAACCATTTACATTAATTTAAAAAGGAATTCTTTTTAAAGTCTAGAAATTTACATTAAGTCCAAGATAGGACCAATAATTTACACTAAGTTTAACTAAGTCCAGCATAGGACTCAACTATTTACATTAAGTCCAGAATGTTAGCTAAGTCCAGAATAGGACTCAACCATTTACATTAATTTAACTAAGTCCAGCATTTACATTATTTAAAGAAGAATTTTTACGAATTCCACAATAGTATACCATTTACACTACAGGTGTAGGTCCAGAATGGGAGTAATATTTTACACTAAGTCAAGTCCAAGGTATTACCAATAATTTACACTAGGTCCAGAATTGGACAAACATTTTAACTAAGTACAATAATTTACATACTCTTTGGACCAGAATTGGACCAACATTTTAACTAAAATTGAGATTTTCATCTATAAGCCATCTTAACGAAGTACAGAATCATTACCTGTATGCTGTACACTGCATAATTCAAACAAATTAGTCTGTTTTTCAAAGTTCATTACTGCATTTGTATGTTAAAATTTTACTTCCATGCTTTATCTCAGTCTGATGTTGCTAAGCTTCAGTTACCAGGGTTCAAGCAAATCAGTCCTGATTTCCCACAATGCATTTCTTTGCTCCATGTTTATATAAACAGCTTGAGTTTTCCCCAGTTACCAGCTTCAGTTATCCAAGCTTCCAACAAATCCGACTGGACAACCAATTGTTTATCTGCATTATGCATTTAACAAACTCCTACTGAATGCTTTTCTTCGCAAATACATGATGAACATGTGCCTGTGTTTCCCTGAAAAATATAGATAACAAGAATTATTAGTTATTATTAATTATTATTAGAATTAGTACAATTACGCTATTAAATAACTGCAAGTATTATAATAATATCATCTACTAAAATAATACTACGGCAGTCATTTACAAGATACATAATATACAGACAATATTGAACAAGAATAAAAACAAATTTAATTTTTGAATATACTAGTCAAAGTTTTAACATTGTTATAAGCTTTCCAAAATTATATACCAGACTATATTTTTATATAAATGAAATAGTAACATATAGACTTTCATGGGCTATCC